CATACGAGAGTGTACGAAGTATGTAATCAATAATAGCTGATCCGGAATTCGATATAACAAGCAAGGCACTTTCTGGAATCTGGTCTTTTTATTCAATCTATTTACCGTAATCCGGATTCTCCGTGGCTTTGTGCTTACAAAATGCCTAGCCATGCTTGAAAGACGACATTGGCGATTCAGTTCAACGCCATGAACTTTCTTTGAGATACTCTACCGATAGTATCAAGATGATCATCATCTTGTGCCAACCACCATTTTATGATGATCGGTACTGTAATTTAAAGTCATTATTAGATTCCGTATGAGTGATTACTAGGTTCCAGATAAAGAGTACATGAAGCATACTCTAGACCGCATGGTGATATAGGGATGAAAAGCATGATGTATCGATATATATGAATCTTTATATATCAAGGTATTTCCTTGAGTTTTTTGGCTCTATGGAGACATTGGAGAGGAAGTGAGGCGAATTCATGGGAGTGGAGAAAGAAAGAGAGAGAGAGAGAGAGAGAGGAGTTCAAGGAGACTTGGTCGTACATGGAGAGTGCGGAGCTAGATGGATATAGTGTGTCTTTAGTACAGGGCTAGTGCTATATACGGCTAGCCACCAGCTAGCACATGCTTCTAATCATGGAAGAGTGGATCCAGGGGACTTTTTAGATCATCGTTAGATTCACATTGGTGTTTAATTATTAATCGGTGAAATGATGGCATACTTCGTACATTCATCGTACATTCATCGTACATTGATTGAGCTCTGAATGGAGCCAAGCCAGTGTTTTTAGTCCACACCCATCGGTTCCATGATACTCCAGGCTGCTCGTACATACGTAGCTGCTGCCATCTAATAAGTTCCATCTAAATCCCATTCATAGCGAGAGAGCATTTATAATATATTCGGATTCTCCTTGATATAAGTTAGAAATTCCATCAAACATCTTTCCCCCAAGTCCCCTTCAGTAGCCACATTCCATACCACTCACTCACTCACTCTGTCATACATAACTCACAAACCCACGTCCATCTTCTTTCATCACCCGTCAAGGAATAGAAAGTCGACAACAAACAGTTGCATTAAAGGATAATCCGACTATCGAAATCAAACCCCCAATAACCCGATACCGCCTCGACTCCCGCCTCCAGATAAGACTTTTTAGTACAGTCCCAGTCCCAGTCCTAGTCCCAGTCATAGTCAGAGTCACAGTCACCAGTACCAATACCTACGGTAGATTACGTTCTCGTCTCCGGTCCTCGTCACAAGACACCCAATCGCATTGTCACCAAGAACCTTCGATTACCTTCTTCTTACGAATCCAAGTACAACGAATACATCTGAGACAACGAATCTTCTTTTCATAACCATTTTACAATTCCATTCAACAATTCCCTTTCTCCGTTCATCAATACCACTCTTCCAAATTCATCATTAATCTCATTGATAATACTCAAGTCCTCTTCAAGTAACACATACATACCATTAATCATCCATCACCATGTATACTCCCTCAAGCGCCACTTCATCCAGATCTGCCTCTCCGGAATTACAATCGGAATCAATGCAAATCTTTGTTAAAGTCTTGTCCGGCGACAGTATGTTTCTTCCCAAATCCATTCATTCTTAACCTTCCAACTAACTCGTTATTTAGCTATACCCATAATTGTTCCCGAAGATACTACCATCTCGAACCTTGCCCATCTCCTCTCTATCCGCACATCCTCACCATCATCGACACTTCGTCTCGTACACGCCGGAAGGCATTTACAACCATCTTCAACTCTCACCTCGAATAACATTACTCGAGACTCGACAATCCACGTTGCAGGAACACTAAGAGGCGGTATGCCACCTAAGAAGATTAAGTGTAATTACAAGGACTGCGGGGTGGCAGCACAAAGAATTGTAGGACACTGTGGATTCTGCGAAGGCGAATTCTGTGGGAAGCACAGAATGTTGGAGGATCACAAGTGTGTGAAATTAGAAGACGTGAGTTGCCCTATCTCCGATGATGTATCTCCACAATCTAGTACCGGGGAATCTATTCTTCGAGGGGTATTTGAGGGACCCGGAATGGATGAACAGATTCCATGGTGGCAAGTTGGATTAGGAGATGTGCTCTCAGAAATCATGTGTGAAGATGGGATTGTGGGCTGACTTATTTCATTACAGTGCAAGAAGGAATGTCATGACCGAAATGCAGCTCAACTTAATGCCGAGCGAACTCAAGTCATCAAGGGTATCTAGGTACCTCACTCTCTCTTGCGAAACACACCCCGCCCGAGATTACATACGGAGGGACAAGAGACATACCTGTTCGATCGTCATTTTGACCATCGAACTCTACTCTACATGGAAATCATGTGAGTAATCTGGGTCTTCCAGAGTCGCTTCTAGCCACTAGCGATAATACATCTCGGGTCGAGATCACCTCTATTCACCCACTCAACATTACCGATTCTCTTCGTTTATATCATGGGTTTTAGCGGGCGTAAGGAACTAGCATATTTAACATCTTCGCTTCTATTCCACCAATTGCATTTTCAAGTCCATCTATCTCTATTTCCTAGTAACTATTGGGAGTTCCGATGGTTTGATGCAATTAAAGGGGTGAGTGGCTTTAGGTGTATGGGTGGTAATATAGTTGAGGTTATCTTTCATGGGAGAGATAGGGTCGATTTGTTATATAGTTTTTGAATCAAATTACATATCCGCTTTTCTACATGTCAGTAATTTGCATATGCTAAATATTTTTGTCTTGTTGTTGTGGCCTTGCTACTTGGCTGTCCTTGGCCCCTGTGAATGATGTATTGCGACTTTGATACTTTACGTGAGTACAGGATTTCTGTTCAAAGAAATGTTAAAGGTTAGTGTTCCTTTGCTTCTTACCTATTGTTGTAGTATTTTATTTTATTTTTTTAAATATGATTCCTCATTTCCATTTCCATTTGTGTTCTTGTCGTTTTTTGGGTTTTTTTCTTCGTAAGTATGGTTTTAATCACGATGGCTCCTTTTAAGGTTTACCGTTTACATGGTGACGTCAATTCTAGGGGGGACTAGGAAGTCTTCGGTAGTAGGTAGGCATTTAGTAGTCATACCGGTATCTGATATGAAAGGATTTTTTTTTTTCTTTTTTGGGGGAGAGAGTAGATAAATTCTCGGGGTGGGAGTTGTGTGTGTGATTTTTATAATTAATGGGTAGAGTTGTTGGTTGGATGGTTTATATTTTGCAGTTAGTCGGTTGGTTTAGCTTGGGGTAAGTTGGTTTAGTGAAGGTTTTCACGCGCTGAGTGGCAGTTTTCGGTTTGGTGGGGGGTGCAGTTTAGGGCAGTGGTGAGGGGAGATGGAATGAGATGTTAGGAGAGAGGGGATTTCTTGGGGAGACTGGTGTTTCTTTTGTGAATGGATGGGTGGGTGGATGATTTTGAAGGTTGAAGGTACTACCGAGTTGTGTGATAGTAAACTTGTTTTTGGGGGTCGTGTCTTTTTTTGAATGGGATGATGGTTGATGTGGGTATGGGTGCTTGGAGTATCTTTTCTGGGGTTGAGGTTTGAGAATCGAGGGAGAGGAGGGATATGTATGTGTGGAGTTGGGGATTGTTGCGTGAGGGTTGGAGGTACCGGGGTGGTTTCCTTTTCAATGTTAGGTATGAGTAGTCAGCTCTCTCTTTGAGCAGTGAACCGAATGTTTCGTACGGAATTCACTAGATGATTCTATTGGTGTGCTCTGTGGAGATTCATGGCATGGCGATTTCATGATTTGAATTTGTTTTAAATTTCATGGAGCTGGAGCTTCCAGAGTCTAGAATCCAGATCTTATTTTACTCCTTTGCAACTTTTGAACTGATTGGGCTTCGATGCGCGTCTCAGTTCCTAGCAGGGATTCCACAGCTACAACTTAACCAGATTCGCTCTCTCCGTATTTCCCATGAGATAGAGCATCCGGTTTACCCAACTTTTCACCATGAGCCCAAAGGCACCCCCCGCCTTCAAAAAGCAACAAGAGGAAGATCAAACAGTTGCAAGATGGCAAGCTGAAAATCTGATTTTTATTTGTCACGTACTCTCAAAAATGAAAGGGTCGAAGAACCTACATATCAACTTCTACGATGATACAGGTCGCAGTTCGGAGATGTCCCTCCTGGACCCTTTGATGAGTATCAAGAACATTGAGAATTTCGACGTGGAGTTGACATGGGCTTTGGAACGTGCTGTTGACCCTTAATATAAGAACGCAACGCTGCGATTCCTTATTCGAAGACCATCACTAGAGGAAGAGCATGCGTTTGAAGCACTTTACGATATGCGGAAGTTTACATTATTGATGTACAAGTTAGGCCGCTTCTTGACACATCCATATCGTATGCTTCGATGAGATCGAATGAGAAAGATCTAGGTTCAATAACGACAGTAGTGATTGTGGGATCACATCTGGGATTTAAGTTTCTCTTCTCTTCCTGGCCGTTGACATGTAGGCCAAAAACATGTTACTTAACGATCGATTGCGTATCTGGGACATGGGACATAGAGTAATTACTTTCCATGCTTGGAATTTGCGGATATTTAGAGTTTTTTCTCACATATCTGCGAATAAATTCCTTTATGCAAATTCCGTACGCCAATATCCCTAGTCGCTGACCTCACATTGTTAGCATAGAGTGGTAATGACTTATCACACAGTAGTAATTCTCTAGGCTCCAGTTCCCTCCGATGAGTCATCTGTGCTGATGTAATAGTATAAGTAAGAGGAAACCCGTTGATGAAAACTCATTGATGTCTAAAGGCATATTCTACATTTCATCTCCTCAATATCTGTCCTTCCTTTTTGCGATTACAGCATCTGTTATTGTATAAAGTGGTACTAAAGCAATAAAATTGAATAAAAACAATCATGTTCATGAGTTCACGATGACAACAGTGAACAAGGTTTTGAAGATCCCCGGACTTGGTGATATATCCTTATCCAGCGAATTACCCACAAGTTCGCGGTTTCACCAAGGATCAGATGATTGGAAAGAAGGGTGAGTACAAAAGCCCCGTTTGACAGCTCGAGAGCTGGCCATGATGGGACTCACCAATCTCTTGACCGATATGCCTAACTGGCACATTATTCAACCACAAAGATACTGCAATATGGCACGAAACGGCTATGAAAAGTAAATTGATAAGCGAGAAAGCTTGGGAGTGGTGCTTGACTGAGTTGAGAGACAAGGCAAGGTTGTTCAGTACTATAAATCGTGTTCTTGCTTTGGATGCTGGAGCTTGTTTCCAAATCAGAGACTAGTGTACCTAAAATTTTGACGAGAGCCCTGTACACGACGATTGCAGAACTGTGCCGTCAGCTTGACAAAAATGACTGGCAGATTGTCGTCGGGATCAACAAGTTGTCAACATTGTAGACCCATCATTGTTTCCGCTGACTTACGGAAAAACGAAAGTTTTATTGGACGGAGGTAAAGTTGATGTAAACGGCTGTTCCAAATCATACGGACAAGGTATCACTACAGGAATTCCACAAGTCCACCCAAATAGAAGCAGTATGGCAGGTGCTGCTAACGCACTGAAAATAGACGTCCCCTTCAATAAAGATACAAATCTCTACCGCTGGTCAACAAACTATCAATGACTTCCATGCGAGGTAGAATTTGATGGCAATTCTGACACTTCCGTGCGTATCACTTCCTACATTAACAATGTACACCCTATCAAAAACAAAGGACTATATGGCATGATCGAACAGCTTATACAATTAGTCATAGTTTGCTCAAAGGCGAGTATGGACGTGTTCCCATCCGAAGTAGAACACACGGCACCGTAGATCAAGAGGAAGAACCTGGTGAATCTTTAGCAACGATCGAAAGTCGCATGATAACGACCCCGAACATCCTAAACCAGGAACTGCATTCACATATGAAGACTGGAAAAAAGGAAGAAATGGTAAGTCTATTGTAGGTCAAGCTGTATGGGAAGGTCTTCCGGAGCATGCATGGCGCTCAGAAAGAGTGCATGAGTGTATTGACACAGACCATGAATTCTACAGCATTTCTCTACAGGAAAGCTTTCGGGAAAAGGGACTGCAAGTTTTTGTGCAAATTGGAAGTATCGAATTGCATGAATGGGATAACCCATGGCTAGAAAGTGATTGGGATATTGATGGAACACGGAGTGAACATATTGCTGCTACATCTATATGTTTCTACGATGTGCAGAATATAGCAAACATGCAAGTTTCCTTTCGACAGAAAACTTGTATGAGCAAACCAGCATACCATCGTTCGGACGATGATCTTTTTGCTAAAACTTTTGGTATTGAGGAAGATGAGTATTATGATGATAAGAGTTTTCACTTTGCTCCTGCTACTCAAGAATTGGGCTCAATAGCTGGAAGGAAGGACGGATATTGAGTTGGTCCAATGAGTTGCAATATAAATTCGAGCCTTTTACGAGAAACAGTCTTACAGAATCGGGTCATGCGAGAATCATTAAACTTATGTTGGTAGATCCATAGTATCGAATCTATTCGACTTAAAATGTGCCACCGCAAAGACATGATTAGTGGGCTAATGAAGTCTTTAGAAAGGAGAGTTTAGGAAGAAAATTGCCAGCGGAGCTGTTAAACATGATTGATAAAGCTATGAATGAATGGCCGATAGGAAGGGATGAGGCGAAGGAAGATCTGGATAATCTACTTGAAGAACATCGCTGGGCGAAGGGAGCCCAGGTTCGTTTGACGAAGGCTTGGTGTGGGTGTGTTGTTGTGCTTGCCATATGTTGGGGTATTGCCGAGATCATTGAGAGAGATGTTTGGGCATTCAGGTATATTTGAGATAGATATTGTCTGCAAAGCGGCGTGTTATTTTCTGTTGCATTCAGGGGCTTGCGGAAAACCACAATGAGAGCATTGAAATAGTAATTTTAGCTTGCTGTTTCCTTGATACTATGCACATGAACTCATGGCTAACACCAAATGCCAGTTCTCCTCTTCAAATGTTCTTCCCAGACAGCAGCCTTCATCTACCATACATTGTCCTCACATGGAAACCATTTTGACAACAAGCTGCAGATAACATCGGATACACAAGTGAATGCAAAAGAACTAACCACAGCAATGATAGTTTCCACGCACACAACAATTGAATCACATATAATTCCCTCAACAATGTTCCACTCGGAAATCCAAACACGGACTTAAGGCTGTCGATAAAAACCCAAAACTACCAGGTCGTGCATGTGGGAAGAATCCCCTATGCATAATTATCTCGAAATATCCCCAAAGCACAATTGACTATCCAGACAATCAATGATGTCAGGAATGTGCTGTAAAATCAACTGAATTTGGCACCATCTCCTTTTCTAATTGGCAATAGCTGTTGGGGCGGCAATTGCAATAGGAAGCACTCGCTTCCATTGACAAGAGATATTTTTCCGACTTTTCGAACTCGAAGGTTCAATAAATTACGCCATTTATTCCATTCCAAATGATGTCTGTCGATCCGAGTTAACCTATTCAATCTCAGCATCATTGAAAGCCAATTCATGCTTTTAGATGGACTGATTGATCCGAACCCTTTGTTAATCGTTCAAAGGGTCCAAAGAGCCCGCCAATTGGCTGGTGTCGATGCGTATCGATATCAATAATCGATCCACAATTATGTCCAAGCCAAGAGACCTCGGCATCGGTAAACAATTTCATCCCTCCTTATTACCCCAAGCCTCATGAAACCTGAAGTGCATACATAATCTTCTTCATCAGAAACCTGTCTTTCCTTACATCTCCATCTTATTTTCATATCTAGGTTCTTTTAACCCGATTATAAGCAAAGCCGACGCTATCGTCCGAAACGGAAAACTCCATTTATGATAGCGCAGGGTTTGCTAAACTCCATTCCTCGCTAGCAACGCTATCGACATCATCGTTTTTACTAGTTTGAGGATTCTCGTGTTCCTCCACAGGAAGTTTCGTTTACTTGCTGTCTAGAACCATATCTGATTGGTGCTCTTTGCGGATTTAAATAGCTTTATTTCATCCAGACTCTTCGACTTGGAATCTTCGGCCGAAATAGAGTTTGGGAAAAAAGTGGAGATCAGTACATCACATATCATACCAAGACGCAGTGACCTGGATTAGATCATTGAATACATATACCATGTCTACACCCACGAAGAGTCCTGCTTCTGTAGCAACAGATAGGATCCTCTCTCTTACAAATCACTTAAAAGACTCTCTGAATCCATCCGACGACTTACACAAAGCAAAAATAATGGCATCTTCATACAAATTTGAAGGATGGATGGCGTTGGACAAGGAGGCGGCTAAGGGAAATATGGTATGGCAAGAATTCGAGCCAAAGACTTGGACAGAGGATGATGTCGATATTAAAATTGCCTACTGCGGTATCTGTGGGTCTGATATTCATACATTGAGATCTGGATGGGTATGTACCTCTTCCCTGGAATATGGAAGAGAGAAATACTGATTTGGCTATAGGGCGCGACGAAGTACCCAGCTTGCGTAGGACATGAGCTAGCTGGTACTGCTGTGAAAGTGGGGAAAAACGTAAAGCACATTAAGCTTGGTGACCGATGTGGTGTTGGTGCACAATCAAGTGCTTGCCTGAAGCCTGAGTGCGAGGAATGTGCAAGTGGTATGGAAAACCATTGCACAAAAATGGTTGGAACTTATAACGGAGTTTATCCCGATGGTTCCAAGTCCTACGGCGGTTATGCAGACTACTGCCGTGCTCCATCGCATTTTGTTATCAAGATTCCTGATGGACTTTCTCTTGCCGAAGCAGCTCCTATGTTGTGCGGAGGTGTTACAACCTGGTCACCCCTTGTCAACAACGGAGCCGGACCTGACAAGCGAGTCGGAATTGTTGGTATCGGAGGCTTGGGTCATTTTGGTCTCTTGTGGGCCAAGGGTCTCGGCTGCAAAGAGGTTGTTGCAATCTCCCGGACAAGCGGAAAGAAAGCCGATGCAGAGAAGATGGGTGCCACCAAATTCATTGCTACAGACGAAGACGAAGATTGGGCCAAGAAGAACGCTAGATCTCTTGACTTGATCGTCTGTACCGTCTCTAGCCCAAAGATGCCAGTAGCTGGATATCTTTCATTGCTGAAAACCAAGGGTGAATTTATTCAGGTTGGAGCTCCAGAGGATGTCATCCCAGCTTTGAATATGTTCGCCTTCATTGGAAAGGGAGTAAAGCTTGGAGGTAGTGCAATTGGCACACCAAAGGATATCAGTAACATGTTGGAGTTTGCTGCCAAGAATAACATCCATCCTTTCATTCAGGAGAGACCATTATCGGAGGCAAATCAAGCTGTTGTTGATATGGAGGATGGAAAAGCTCGTTACCGTTATGTTTTGGTCAACGAGAAGCATGCAAAGGAGTTGAAGCAATAAACAGTTTTGATGAATATGTATGTATGAATGAATGTACGTGTGTATGATGAAGAGATGAAATAATACAGAGGCAAGAGACAAACAGTATCTAAGTGAATGTAGAAGTATTGTATAATCTGAATCTACAATGATAGATGTGCACAAAGCTCAAATGAAAGATAAGTATAGAAGAGGAAAGGGATATCTTTAAACGTTAGAAAGTATATAGAGTCCACTCAAGAAGTATCAGTGCAATAAGAATGTGGTACTACGAGCGTATGTGTGTATGTTCCACCACTCATGATATTCGGTCCAGTGAGGCTTGATACTGACAACTAGATATAATGTTCTAGCAACTGTATAAGCTCCAGTAATCAATCAAACTTGTTCCTATTATGCAAACCCAGTCCTAAAGTTTAGAAAATCATCAACAGGATTGATTATTTCTCTTCACCATTTGAGGTCGACAAACAAAGAAATCAAGCACAATCATGTCAAGATATTGAGAATATGCAGGTAATAAGGCTTCTTAGATTGAGGAATACACTGTGAAAGAGATCAACTCGTAGTCTTCTTGAGAATTAGATGCTCAGTTCTAGAACTCCTCAAACAATCACTAGACAAGTGGTGAATGCATCAACAAAGCTCGTAAGAGAATACAATACTGTAAAGGGGTGTTCTTCGGCTTGGTTATTAGTTTATCCGAGCCCCACGCTAGTCTCAAAAAGCTAAGCTTGATTTGCAATTCTACGGCTTACACTTTTGCTTATACGCCCTGGGCAACTTCTTTGAAAGGCTTCGTCCAGCTCGAACTATTTCTGTACCTTCATTAATCTCACCTTGAATTCTGAAACTTGAGCCTCAACGTCAACAAAACTATATCATCGTGCCAGTCTTCAAATCTCTTCAACTAATTTTTGTATGATCTTTATGCTATTGTTTCTTTGTTCTTGAGGTCCTTTTTGGTCCTGGGGACGCGCCAATCTTTTGTTTGAGGCGACAGCTCTCAACTTTGCCTTTGCGACAATTCCAACTACAACTCCGCATTCCATCAACCTTCCGATCTCAACTCGATTTGCATACAGATAGTGGAGTTCAAATTCACACAACATGGCTGATTACGAAGAGGGATATGAATATGATGATTATGGAGAGGAGGATGCAGGTATCACGGCAGAGGACTGCTGGACGGTTATTTCTTCTTTCTTCGAAGCAAAAGGTCTAGTTTCGCAGCAACTCGATTCTTTCGATGAATTCGTCCAAACTACGATGCAAGAGCTTGTCGAAGAAAATTCACAGCTCACGCTCGATCAAAACAATCCACCTTCGTCCCACGACAATCCTATCGCACTCCGTCGATATGAAATCAAGTTCGGTACCATCATGCTATCTCGACCGGCTATGACCGAAGGTGATGGAAGTACACAAGTCATGTTACCACAAGAAGCTCGTTTGCGAAATCTCACGTATTCAAGTCCTCTTTATATAGAGATGACGAAGAGTACTCAAGTCGCTGTAGAGCGTCCTGTTCCTCTCAACGAGCTTGATGACGAACAAGAAGCTGAGATGGTGAATGGCGGAGAACATCCTACACGATTGGTCTGGGAATATGAGGATGGTGATCCAGAAGGCCCTAAAGGGGCTCCACTTCCAGAACAAGTTTATATCGGAAAATTACCTATGATGTTGAAGTCGGAATTTTGTATATTGAAGGGTCTCGATGAAGACGAACTTTATGGATGGAACGAATGCCCTTACGACCAAGGAGGATATTTCATCATCAACGGAAGTGAGAAGGTTCTGATCGCCCAAGAGCGTAGTGCCGCCAACATTGTTCAAGTCTTCAAGAAGCCAGCGAACAGCGCAGTGTCTTACTTGGCTGAAATTCGAAGTGCTTTGGAGAAGGGTTCGCGCCTTATTTCTTCATTGCAAATCAAACTATACGACAAAGGTGACAGCAACCGAGGAGGTTTTGGTAAAACTGTCAAGTCAACTTTACCGTATATCAAGGCAGACATCCCTATAGCCATCGTCTTTCGCGCGCTTGGTGTTGTATCTGATGAAGACATTTTGAACCATATCTGTTACGATCGAAATGATACCCAAATGCTCGAGATGTTGAAGCCTTGTATTGAGGAAGCTTTCGTCATCCAAGATCGTGAAGTTGCCCTCGATTTCATTGGAAAGCGTGGTAACGGTACATCTTTGACTCGTGATAAGCGTATCAAATATGCCCGCGACATCATGCAGAAAGAGCTGCTTCCTCATATCTCTCAAAAGGAAGGTAGCGAAACCCGAAAGGCATTCTTCTTGGGTTACATGGTTCATAAGTTACTTCAATGCGCTCTTGGTCGTCGGGAGACTGATGATCGAGATCATTTCGGCAAGAAGCGTTTAGATTTGGCTGGACCCTTACTTGCAAAGTTGTTCAGAAATCTGTTCCGTAGATTGACAACAGATGTGTACAGATACTTGCAACGTTGCGTGGAAAACAACCGAGAGTTTAATTTGACTTTGGGTGTGAAATCCACAACAATCACGAACGGTCTGAAATATTCTTTGGCCACAGGTAACTGGGGTGATCAGAAGAAGGCAGCAAGTTCGACCGCTGGTGTGTCTCAAGTGTTGAACAGATATACCTTTGCTTCAACGCTTTCTCATTTGCGCCGAACCAATACACCCATCGGACGTGATGGAAAGATCGCCAAACCTAGACAACTGCATAATACTCATTGGGGTCTGGTCTGCCCGGCAGAGACACCCGAGGGTCAAGCTTGTGGTTTGGTTAAGAATTTGGCTTTGATGTGTTACGTTACAGTTGGTACGCCAAGTGATCCAATCGTCGAATTCATGATTCAACGAAACATGGAAGTGTTGGAGGAGTATGAACCACTCCGAGCACCCAATGCAACAAAGGTTTTCGTCAATGGTGTTTGGGTTGGTATTCATCGAGATCCTGCTCATTTGGTCAAATGTGTCCAAGATCTTCGTAGATCACACTTGATCTCTCACGAAGTTTCACTCATTCGAGAAATTCGTGACAGAGAGTTCAAGATTTTCACCGATGCAGGACGAGTGTGCAGACCTCTATTGGTTATTGACAATGATCCTGACAGCGCCAACAAAGGTAACTTGGTGTTGAATAAGGATCACATTCGCCGTCTGGAGGATGATCAGTTGCTACCAGCAAACATGGATAAGATTGGGAAAGTAAAAAACGGATACTATGGATTCCAAGGTTTGATTAATGATGGTGTGGTTGAGTATCTGGACGCCGAGGAAGAAGAGACCGTCATGATCACTATGACACCTGAAGATCTGGACATCTCTCGACAACTTCAGGCTGGTTATCAAATTCGTCCTGATGAAAGTGGTGATTTGAACAAGCGTGTCAAGGCACCTATCAACCCAACTGCCCATGTCTGGACTCATTGTGAAATTCATCCAAGTATGATCTTGGGTATCTGCGCAAGCATTATTCCCTTCCCGGATCACAATCAGGTAAGCTTTAAGTTCAATGAATTTATTCATTCAATGCTAATTTTATTGCTACAAAGTCTCCTCGTAACTGTTATCAATCCGCTATGGGTAAACAAGCTATGGGAGTTTTCCTCACTAACTTTGATGTGCGCATGGATACTATGGCCAACATCTTATACTATCCTCAAAAGCCTCTCGCCACTACACGTTCTATGGAGTTCTTAAAGTTCAGAGAACTGCCCGCAGGTCAAAACGCCATTGTCGCTATCATGTGTTACTCTGGCTACAATCAAGAAGATTCCGTTATTATGAACCAAAGTAGCATTGATCGTGGATTGTTCCGAAGTCTGTTCTATCGGGCCTACACCGATCAAGAAAAGCGTATTGGTATGAATGTTGTGGAACAATTCGAAAAGCCATACAGATCCGATACTCTTAAGCTCAAGCAGGGTACATATGACAAACTTGACGATGATGGAATCGTGGCTCCTGGTGTTCGTGTCACTGGTGCCGATATCATTATCGGAAAGACTGCACCAATTGCTCCCGACTCTGAGGAAATGGGTCAGCGCACAAAAGCTCATGTCAAGCGTGATGCATCAACACCTCTTCGAAGTACCGAGAGTGGTCTTGTTGATCAAGTACTTATTACCACCAATGCCGAAGGTCTTCGATTCGTCAAGGTCAGAATGAGAACTACCAAAATCCCTCAAATTGGTGACAAATTTGCTTCGCGTCACGGACAGAAGGGTACTATCGGTATTACATATATGCAGCAGGACATGCCGTTCACTAGAGAGGGTGTAGTTCCAGATCTTATCATCAATCCTCACGCTATTCCATCTCGTATGACAATTGCACATTTGATCGAGTGTCAATTGAGTAAAGTTTCTACTCTGCGTGGACTTGAGGGTGATGCTACACCATTTACCGAAGTCACTGTCGATTCTGTTTCTAAGCTTCTCCGTGCACATGGTTACCATTCTCGTGGTTTCGAGATCATGTACCATGGTCACACTGGTCGTAAGATGATGGCCCAAGTCTTCCTTGGTCCCACATATTATCAACGTTTGCGTCACATGGTCGACGACAAGATTCATGCACGTGCCAGAGGACCCGTACAAATTCTAACCAGACAACCCGTGGAAGGTCGTGCTAGAGATGGTGGTCTTCGTTTCGGAGAGATGGAACGTGATTGTATGATTTCTCACGGTGCTAGTGCTTTCTTGAAGGAGAGATTGTTTGAGGTTTCAGATGCTTTCAGAGTTCATATCTGTGATATCTGTGGACTCATGACACCAATTGCGTAAGTTTATGTGCCATTTGAAGAATAAAAAGAGTTATGCTGACTTATTTATAGTAAAATCAATACCGGTTCTTTTGAATGTCGTCCTTGCAAGAACAAGACAAAGATTTCCCAAATTCACATCCCGTATGCCGCTAAATTACTTTTCCAAGAGTTAGCAGCAATGAATATTGCCACAAGAATGTTCACAAAGAGATCTGGCATTACGGTGCGCTGATTTTGTATGATCTAATTACGACTGGATGGGGGTAGACTATGAATTTCGTGGGCAGGGGAAATCTTTGCATATCGTGGCGTTTGGGAGGGAAGAAAGATTGTGACCATTAAGAAGGGGCATTCAAATTATTTGCATAGGATGAAGAAGTTTGGTTGCGTTTCTCATTTGCAGAAATATTCTGCCAAATATTCTACGTCATGGTGCTGAAGATGCACAGAAAAGCATTATATTGGGCGCACATCATGAAATTGGATGGTGCTGCTGTATCATATTAAGATTTTTCTTTAGGCATAAAGAACAAGATAATAACTGATAATCTGATCGATGGTGTGGCTTGATCTCTTTTGTTTTTGTGAAAGTTCTCTTCGAAGTTCATATCGAATCATCTTCATGGTCCATTTGTACAGGAGTTAATATATTCCTTAAATCATGCCATCCATGCCTACATGCTCCAATCATAGAACTGATTGCTAGATGTACTCTAGGACTCCCTCTATAACTTCCTGTTCCTACTCATACATATTGATCCGTAACTTCTGTTGCCGTGTACCCATGTTTGTAATATACATCTCTCGTTCATTGTTCAAACGAGTACCATAATTCGTAATCCCTAAACATAACATCTATACTTGTCTGAAGTTGCAGAGGTATATCATTTCGTAGTCCCATCACTAACATTCTGCACCTTCCTATATTCTTCTTCCATCGCCCGCTGCAAATCGAAATCTAACTGGCGCTCTTTTTTTATGCGCTGTTGTTCCATATCTCGGATTACGCCTGCGTGCATTGCCTGTGCATTGGTTTAATAAATGTGCAGCGACTGGAAATAGGACGGAGGGGAATTGAGAGGCAGAACATACAGCTTTCTCGGCCGTCTGCGCATAATGTACGAAGACTATAGTGCCGGCGGCGAAGAGTGAAGTGCCGAGGAGTGTTAACTTTGCTGGGCGAGACATTGAGTTGGTTTGTCGGCACGCCTTATAATGAATTATGAGAAGCAACTCAAAATGTCTACAAATATGTAATGTTCAGTGAGAACGAGACGAATATCTATAAATTCTAGAATGGTGGAGTGATTTGAGAAGCTGCAATCGATGCAATAGGCGCAGACGGAAGTTGCCGGACCGGGGTATCTACACTGCACCAGGAGAGCTTGTTGCATCTGTTGGAGCTATCTAAGCTTGAACCACCCCAAATCCAACGTTAACTCTCCACTTTCTTCTTGCGCGACGCTGATAACGATTCGAAGACACGATTGATATTTGAAAGAGAAGAAACCTTGAACTTATTGTATTGTTTGTGCAGAGAACAGTCGGATTTGAAGATGGTATGTTTACTCCGACGATTTGGATTGGGGGTTACGTTAGATGGACATGGATGGAATGGAGGTTGGGTTATGAGTGATTTGCTAATTGTGAGGTAATAGTCGGCACAGAATTCGGCGGGTATCCAGACGTTGCTTGATGTATGTTTGGGGCTCTAGGATGATGAGAGGAGGATGGAGATACTAATTGAGAGGTTAGGCAGAGAGAGATGCGCAGAAGATTGTTCAGAAAGGTGAGTTGGAATTCAAGAGTGTTGGTAAAGTTTAAGTTATATGCTAATATTTCTACCTACAGCTAGAGAATGTGAGTTGATATTTACGAAGACGCTGTGTTTGTAGGATGGAATAATGCTGATAGGGATGCAGACCGCACAAAACGTGTAAAGGAAGCAAGAGACGAGGCAAAGAAGGAAATCGATGCGTATAGAAAGGAAAAGGAAGATGAGTTCAAGAAGTTCGAGGCAGAGGTATGTTGTGTCTGGATAATGGGGAGGGTATTCTAGCTGGGAACGATTTGGGGTACTAACATGTTGGATCTAGCACACGAGCGGCAACAAGAAGGCAGAAGAAGATGCCAACAAGGATGCTGAGATCAAGTTGAAGGAGATCAAGGAAGCAGGCAAGAAGGGGGAGAGTCAGGTTGTATCGGATCTATTGAAGGCAGTCTTCGATGTTAAGCCTGTTGTACCTGAACGTATTGAAGGACCAAAATAGGGCGGGCACTCAATCTTGAGTTTATTTGGGGGGGGGGGTTGAGCAATGGGAAATTGTAAGGGGAGATGGTTGTGGTAGTGAAGACTATTAGTTTTCTACCATGATGAGAGTTATATTGAAGTTACTGTTGTGGTGAAGAGGCAATTGATGATAACCTGTGTATAGACTAGCTTGCGATTAACAACAAAGATATCCTCTGTTTCGCATTATGGTTCAGAACATGTGCTCAATATTCTGAAGACTCCATACCTAGGAATCGTATACAACCTTGTGGATACTGATAATAATGTTGATATTGATCTTGACTTTAGATGCGTCTAATGCGACTATTTTTAGCAAACGCCCGTCCCGCTCCTCAAGGCCAATCACATGTTTCCATCTACGTCACTAGTTTTACCAACAAAAATCTAGCCCCGCGAACACTATCAAGCATCTTCTTCCTTCCACCTCGACTTTCTTCAAGATGGCAATGATTTTTAGCCAAACTCAATGTATAATATCCAATTATGACATTTCAGGTCGCTCGTGTAGCATCGATAAGATGTCTATCTCACAATGTACCACGAGCCAAACGACCTATAATGCTCTCCTTCAATACCGCCCGCCCCCGTAAACTTTCTACCTCAACGACAAATTCCCAAATACAAATACATAATTCAGCCATCCATACCTCACAGAAACGTATTCCTCAACCACGTACATCTTTTATTCATGCAGCGGGAATCCACACGTCGAATGTTCGACAACATGAGAAGGAAAAGGATATGAGAAATGCGGATCCGAAGGTTAGTGATATTGGAAGGGCGATTGAGGATGATTTTGCTACAATTAGAGATTGTTATGGTATTTTTCCTCGCATGCCTCCTCGATGTAATGTAAAACAAGGAACTAATGAGGTTAGCTACACCTAAGCATCCCATTGTTCTCGCACACGGCCTCTTCGGTTTCGACGAAGTTCGCATTGCGGGCACTCTTCTCCCCGCAGTACAATATTGGCGCGGTATCACGAATGCTCTTCGCGCAAAAGGCATCGAGGTAATCATCGCCTCTGTACCCGCTTCCGGCAGTATCGAAGAACGCGCCGCGGCATTGGGGGAAGATATTGCCGCGAAGGCGAATGGGAAGAGTGTTAACATTATCGCGCATAGTATGGGGGGATTAGATGCCCGCTTTATGATATCGCGGTTGCAGCCGCCGAATGTGGAAGTGCTGAGTTTGACGACGATTGCGACGCCGCATCGGGGAAGCGCGTTTGCGGATTACTGTTTCGATGAGAGTTGGTGGCATGGAATGATACCGGGGTTGATTAAGAAATTGAATGAGGTGGGGATTAGTACGGGGGCTTTTACACAGTTGACGAGGAAATATATGGGTGAGGAGTTTAATCCGAAGACGCCGGATGATCAGAGTGTGCGATATTTTAGCTATGGGGCGACTTGCGATCCGAAGCTGTGGAGTGCGTTTCGGAAGAGTCATGGGATAGTGCAGAAAGTTGAGGGGCCAAATGATGGGTTGGTTAGTGTGGAGAGTAGTCGTTGGGGAACTTATAAGGGGACTTTGGTGGATGTCAGTCATTTGGATTTGATCAATTGGACGAATAGGTTGAGGTGGTTGGTGTGGGAGTTGACGGGGAATGTGAGGAAGTTTAATGCGATTGCTTTTTATTTGGATATTGCGGATATGCTAGCGAAAGAGGGGCTTTAGACCGGGTTGGATGACTAGGGTATGGATTTGGAGTCTGGCTAGAATGTTTTGACTGATTGGATTCTGGAAAGAAAAGTTTGGGATTGGAGAGACGCTTGGGGGTAAAAATATTGGGATAGAACAGATAGAAATAAAGTTCCTCGAGTAGAAAATTTAAACTCCTTTCTCCCTCTTCGCACTCCTATTGTCAGACTTATGCCCAGTTCTAGTTCTAGTTCTTGCGCTCGTATCTGAAGATAATTACCTCGCTAATCATTGTATCCCATGAACAACCCCCCTATATCAATCACCCGAACCAATTCCCATCCACTTACCCCCGTACTCCTATCAACTACGAATCTCAGCAGAGATGTATTAAATTTCCAATTCAGATATCACATGTATCATAAATCATAAATCAGAACAGGCAATTCTAATCCTTCCTAACCAATCACGATATACTCATATGAATACTTGGTAGATATATTATTCTTATATCTATCTATCTATCTATCTATCTATCTATTTATCTATCTATTTATCTATCTATCTATCTATCCAGATACAAAGCAAGGAAAGTTATATATATCTATAACAATATATTATAACTTAGCTAGAGGATACATAATAGATGTCCGAAGAAGCATATATTATCCCACGCAATACTTATATATTTACCCCGTAGTAAAAAACCACGCGACATATGAGATCTTTTTCTCTTGATCATACAATTTTTATCTACGTACTACTTACTTACTATTCGAGTACTCGACTCTACATTGATTTCCAAAAAAAAAAAAAAAAAAAGAACAAAAAAAAAATTGAAAAGGGGAATATTCAAGCTCGAAAATAACGTAGCTAGCTAGTTATTTGTAAATCTGCAACTACAATTACAAAGTTCCCAAAAGCAAGACGATTGCCAAACATTACCAATACCCAATCACCAATACGAAAACACAGCGCTCAACAAAGTCAAGTCATCTATACAGCACAGAATATAACGATTGTATTTTCAAACTATGTACGTTTCTTTGCCTCTCCATCCATTCAGTCATCCACCAACAAAAACTACCTATCCACAAGAATAAAAAGCAGCATCAATCCACAAGCCACCAGCCAGCTAGCCCATCATTTTCCACTCTCCACACACCTTGAGCTCCTCATACGGACTCGCTCGCTTACATACTCGCTCGCAAGCTCTCTTACAGAGCCAAAGTAGCACCTGCCGAGCCGACAACAGCCGCAACGACATTTGCGCTACCCAACAAGGAATACGAGTATGGGAGGGAAGTGGTGGTCAATTTACCGACTGGGGCTGTGTTGGTGTATCCGCCGAGATCGTTGTCGAATGCGTTTGCGTATCTATAATTTTTGTGTGAGTATGTTTATATATGGCGAGGAGATGTGAACAGGAGAAGAGAGAGAAAAACATACCCAGTATCATCACTGTAGAGCGCAGCGATTGGCTGACTGACATTCTTGAAAACGTTGCTTTGGACCAAGAGTTGCGCACCGTCTCTGGTGTCGACACCGGTAATGGCATTCAAGAAGTAGCTGTTGTATACGTGACCGGTTCCGAATCTGAAAGAGGGAGTGCGGGAGCCGACGTTGGACCAGTAGTTGTTGTGTTGAGTGACGGTGAGGTGTCCGGTGTCTTCTGCGGCGTTGTTGTCGGAATGGCCGATGAGAGATGCCTTGAAGTGGTCGTGGATGTAGGAGTTGGAGATGGTGACCCAGTCCGAGGCGTGGGAGACGTCGATGAGTCCGTCGTAGTAGTCTTTGCCGTGGGTGAGATCGGAGGAGACGTCGCTGGAAGTAAGTTAGTTTCGATTTTTGTTCTAGATTTTGGGAAGCACGAACACATGATCAATCCAAACATTCTTTGCTGCTTGGATACCAATAGCATCGCCATTGGAAGCCAGGACTTTCTGACTAATGATATTTCGCACAATGACATTTGTGGATTTATTGATATAAAGACCAATTCCAATGAGTGCTAGAAAGTCATTAGTACCGTCTAAGATCTGAGATAAGAAGAGAACATACTAGCTTCTTTCTTTCCAATAATCGTCTTGTTGGATCCAACTCTGACTTGAGCAGAGCCAGAGATGGTACCGCTAACGACAATGACTCTTGCAACTGCGTCGTTGGTTACTGCTGTTGTGAATTGAGCAAGTGTAGAAACAGTGGTGGTTGCACCACCTGCTCCTCCTTTGGTTCTGAAAAATTGTTAGAAAGGCACAAAGGCGATATTGAGGAATTACTTACCCGCCATTTTGAGTTGCAAAACCGGTAGTAGCAACATCGGTGATAGCAGCTCTCTTAGCGACATTTGCACGCTCAGCAATAGCATCACCTTCAGTTGGTGTTGGAGCAGCAGAGACAAACTGTGCAAGGACTGCGAGTCCTGTGGAGAGAATGGAGAGCTTCATTTTCAGATACTCAGGAAGTTCGTTGCAGAAAGATCGATTCGAGAGATTGATTGTAGAGCTGCCAATTTCGTTCTTTGCCTTGAGTTGAGTGAGCTGTGAAGAATGAGGATTTCATGGAATCTTCTTCTCCTTTATATATTTTAGATTCCTCGTTCAACCCCCATATCATCAAACGAGGTTTGAGTCGATTCGATGCCAGTACAACCACAGCCGTGCAAATGTTCACGGAACGCTTTCAGCACGGAAAACGTATCCATTGATGCTCATCAAATCCGCTCACGATCGACGGCGCTTTCAGACACCCTCGATTCCACGAATGAAGAATCTCCCTCATCACAATACAACAACCACACTCCTCTCTGTTGATTCATCCAGCAAAGTCAAACGCAACATCGAGCGAGCCAAGAAAGTGCGCATCAAGGTATCTTTGTACACGCCAAGCAACATAGATGAAGCTTGTTTAACACTCAGGTTGGTGGGTCTGCACACTCGTAGATTTTCCGTCCATAGACGATTTAGTACGCTTAGAAATCTGGGGACCCCGCAATATTCAGGGTGCATGTGCGACATTCAATAGTACTCCTCTAGACAAATACGACATGGAAGGCTATTCGCATCATATGTTCTGTGGAGTAGCAGCTGCATCATCATGTATCGGAACGGTAACTTCAATATTTGGCCATACGTGGAAAATTAGTTCCGTACAGGAAAACTATAATGATGGCAATAAAAGCTTCACTGGCGGTGTATATTTGCTTCCGCGAGTTTGAAATAGACTATACTCTATACATATTATCCTCCATGAACTATGTGTTCTTTAAGGAACTTTAGGTTGAAATTCGGTTGCACAATAACTTCAGTAAGGTTGTACAACGTCTCATGATCCAATTAAGTTATGGAAGAAGCCTTTTAGCATTATTACCCGCCTGTAAGGATCGACCATCTTGCAGCTCCATTAATTCGCCAAATTCAAAAATGTCGTGTGTGGAAGGGGAAATGCTCGATTCAATTCTTGGCGCAGGAATTGATACGTTCAGACATATCAAATTACCTGCCAATTCCAGAACACGATCTTCAGTTACCGAATTGCGGTAAATAACCCGCACAAAATTACATTCCATCTCGCCACGTTCAAGTACCCCCTGAGTCACGTTGCAGGGACGCCTTTCTTAATCTCATTTGCTAAAGAAATTCGTGATCTTTTGACTTCCCTTTTCCTGAGCAGAAGATTTCTTCGGGCTTCCATAATTATTGCTAGTAGCGCTTCTAGTCTTCCTATTTGACGCCACAGGCGGAGAATCTTTTTCGGGACTTGCAGAAACGCGGATTGACTTCTGGGGCGGCTCTTCAGTATCAACATCGTCAAGCTCGCGTTTTATTCCTTGTTTCTTCTCTGCTTTGGGCACTGGTAATGGCGCATTATCCTCGGATCCATTGTGATCAATAGTTTTGCGACCATCTGTATCTGTATGCTTTTGCTTGATTGGTGTATCTTTTGTTTCTTCCTCTTGGATCTTCCGAAGTGCGACTGCATCCGAAGACTTAGGTGACGGCTTAGATGATGCCTTTGCGTCATTCTTCCCCCCTTTTGCAAAGAAATTGGCAATATTGGACTTATTTTCCGTGCTTGCTACTGGAACAATGAAATTAGGAGAATCATTGCCTACCTTTCCCACCTCCTTGCTAACTGGGTAGATTTCTAATTCTCCTTCGTATGGTTTCAGGAGAGATTGGAGTTCTTTTGTCCATGATGATCTTTTTGGATCAAGCCAAGTACGGAGATCTTCTGAACCGTTGTCAAGAACAACTGGCATCCTTTCATGTAAGAAATTCAACTGTTTATTCGCACTCGTCGTGATGATGGTGTAAGTATAAAGTTTGTCATCCGAGCCTTCATATTGAACGACATCCCAAAGCCCCGCCATGCACATGAGCTGACCGTCCTTCCTCTTGATATAATGAGGAATCTTTTCTTTTCCTTTCTTCAACCACTCATAAAACCCCTCTGCAACAACAACACACCTCTTCTTTTGCTTCATCGTATTCCACATTCCTCTATTCTCAATCAAAGAATCGTCACGGCAATTAATAGTTTTCATCATCGATCCATAATCCGGGTTACGCTTCGTCCAGAACGGTATCAAGCCCCATTTCATACTTTGGAGTTTTATACTGGACTGCCTCATTCGTATGTTCTTCTTGCTCAGTCCCATCCGGGTTAGTAGTTTCTGGCTCAGGGGCGGATCTCTTTTCAGTCTCATCGACACCTTCCTTGTGATGTCTCGATCCCGCACCCCAATCCGGTACATTAGCCCGATAAACGAGACCATGATATCCCGGCGCAAAATTAAAACTTTGCCTCGGTGTGCCATCACCTTCATCATCAGGCGCTTCCTCAACCGGCATATTCTCATTTTCGAGATATTGGCGAACCTCTGAAGGTCGCTTCAATAACATCAGCAAGGGTTTTACCAGACAGTTGTGTTTTATAACTTACCAGGTGCAAAGCGTATCTTCCACACATACTGACTGATGTTACATTGTCGCGTTGAAGGTGGATTGAAAGTCATGTTTGTGAGATGTAGGTAATGCGATGTGACAGGCGGCCGCATTCACTTCAATGACGTCACTGTTCTCACACTTGGGCTTTTAAGGTTACATAACATCAGTAACTTCCAATATCCCCTTTCACGAGTTTCAAAAAAATTAAAAGTTCACCGGGAGGGCCAATAGAAACCCTGTATTTGACCGAGACAAACTTTCACCAAGGATCACGATTCACCAGGAGTAAATTCCGCCTCTTCCCCACACTTATTGCTCCCCCCCAGTGCTTCCTGGCCGGCAATTGTGAATGAAATGAACTGAACCTCTTCACCCTCCTAGTTATTAGTAAGTTGTCGCCATCTCTCATCACCATTCGAATCCCTTGTGCAATTTCCCGTCTTAAATTCTCCGTAGTGTAGTGTACGCTGATAATTACACATCATACCATAGATATATAACCGTAAGAATATAACCGTAAGAATATAACCTTAAGAATATAACCTCAAGAATATAACATATCTATCAACTACTGTTTGACGTGCTGTCATTGTTTGACGTGCTGTCAAATACTACACCAGTATAGCTACCCGGTACTGGAAAGATGCTGTAACGTGTAAAATGAGTCAATCCATACGAGACGGCGTAGACGGACCGCCGGCTCTTAGCCACCTCAATTTCGATGAAACCATTCGAGAAAAGTATGAGGAGAACAAGATGAAAGTACGATGCCCACCTACTTACTTGTAATGGATTTATCCATATTGAGACTGTTGTGGGCCATACAAATTGGACCAATGATTGAGAAATCCCACGACTGAGATAAATTAATCAACCCGGTACGCGTTCACCAGTAAATATCAAAGTCGGGTGAGAGACTTCTTTTGAACAAATTCAAAATCGAGTCAAGGTAGCGATGTATAGGTACTTCCTCTACCGTCTCTCTGCTCTCTACTTTATGAGTACCGTTATACCCATGATATTCGATGGATCTCATAGTTTCATAATGTGATGTGAATCTATGCATACATACATACATACATTTATACATACATACATACATAGCTACAATTCATGACCTCTGAACACCCACGCTCAAACTTCAAACGGAGACCTCTCGATTCTCAAGCCTCTAAATCCACATCACTCTTCTTTCCACTCCCCATGATCTTGACGTTTTCCCGTCCACCTTTGCTCGACTCCTCAAATTCGCTTCCTTCCTCCGCATTATACACCATACTAGGATCATCAATCTCATCTCCGACTTCCATCCATACATCGCTTGTAGCGGGTACAGGGAAGACTTTGCATAGAATCCAATACGCGCTTGACGCGACAATAAATCCGCAGAAGAAATTTAGATTATAGATATATGTTGCACCAATGGGAACTTTCTTACCAATTGCTCCTACGAATCCTACAATGTTGATGAGGATACCAGCGATGTAAGCAGCGTAACCTCTCCAGTGAATACCTGCTGTGTAGTAGTATGGAGAAGTCTTCTTGGCGGAATACAGATTTCGAACTTGCAGGTAGCCTTTACGAACGAAGTAGTAATCTGAGATGATGACACCAGCAATGGAAGATAGGAAGACGGAGTAAGCGGACAGGTAGGTGGTGAAGTTGTTGGAGGTTGAGAGAAGATTCCATGGACACATGACGAGACCGACGAGAGCGCAAACATAACCGCCACGACGGATATTGATGTATCGGGGGAGGAGAGCCGTCATATCTGTACCTGCAGATACGGAATTGGCGGCAATATTGGTACCGAGTTGGGCGAGAGCAAATGCAGTTGCGATGAAAAATACACCGGCGCGATTTCCGGACCCTCCTTCGGTTAAGAATGATTGGAGCAGATCAAGGGGATTCCAGATGGCTTCACCGAAGATGACGGTTGAAGATGAGGAGACAATGATTCCGACGAAAGATGTAACGGCAAAACCGACAGGAATCGTGATGAGTTGTGACCAGAAAGCATCCCTGGGCTTTTGTGCAAAACGCGCGAAATCGGGATCGTTAACGATGAGAGTTGCGAAGTTGGCGATAGAGGACATAATTCCCGTGACCATTCCCCAGCCCAACTTGCTACCATGGCTTGTGTTTCCTTGTTTGACGATTGGACCAAGGCCCTTTGCGCGAACTACAGCCCAGATGAAGAATGAGAGGCCTGCAACTGGTACCACATATGCCTTAACCGTAAATAGGTGGCGAATTTTGTGGACCGGAAACCAGATTGCTGGAAGCGAGCAAAACCAAAAAAGGAAGAATGACACAAACATCACAGTGTTTGTTCCAGAGTCAGGAATTCCATTGTGAATCTTGCCATCGGGCTGCCACGATGGCCAAATTGCAGCGATCATCAATTGAACGCATTCTCCTCCAATCCAAGCCTGCACTCCGTACCAAATACAAGCCATGGCTGCACGATTGAACACAGGCCACAGAGCACCCCAAATACCGAAAGACGATCGAGCAATAACGGGAAAGGAAAGATGATAAGTAGCGCCGATTCTCGCCGTGGAAACAATGAAGCAGGCTGCAATTGAATATCCAATCCATACACAAAGCCATGATTGCCACCACGATAATCCGCCAACAATCATGCTCGATGATATCATCCATGTGTTCTAATTGGTCGCAATGTTAGAATCTTACTTCTGGGCAAGAAAAGGTTCTTGGAGGCATGCTCACAATATTAAAAGAATCCGCGATCCAAAATCCTACGAAATTCCAGGTTCCCCATTGTCTACGTTCTGGTTCGACTAGAAGAGATATCAGTATTTGAGTACTCCTACAAATTCAGAAGTACTTACCAGGTTTCAAATCATGATTGTTTAACATGAGTTGAGCGTTGGTCAATCCAGGTTCGGCCTCTACGGCCAACTTATCGGCCCAGTAGCCAATCCTCGTATTCTTAGCTTTCTCCATGATGAAATCAAGGAACCAGCCGCCCGATTCGTCTGAAGAGTGAAATACAATATCTCTGAAATGAATATCTGAAGAAGAGGATAAAGAGAGGCGTCTGGAAGAGAGGCGTTTGGAAGAGGAGGTCGTTGTATTTCTAGCCTGCGAAGAAGAAGAGGGGTTATGAAGTAACGTTGTACCGGTTGCACTTTCTTGGCTCTTCGACGAACTACTGGTAGAAATCAACGGCGTGCTTTCGTCGTCTGGTCTAGTACTGGTAGTGTTCTTGTTTTCTTCACCTCCAAATTTGAAGGCGGGCATTGCATCTATTATATAGATTATTGGATAAGCAAGGGCCTTGGACGCCGTCTATGATCTTTCTCGGCTTATGATCTTCTAAAATCTTTTTTCCTTCTCTGTAGCTGCATAGAAAAATCTTTTGAATCCCTACACAATGTGAAGAAGAAGTATAAACGCACAGGAGACTAGATCCAAATGGTCGGTCGATTTGTCGACTTGGGTTAAGTTTATTACTTTCTTGTCCCAGTTGACCGGTTCGAATTCCCCCAATAGAAGGAAGGTACCTGGCCTCATATTGCCATGTAAGTGAATTATCTACATTTGCTTCTTATCTTTGAATCCTCTCCCGTGCAGATACATTTCGCCAACCAAGACAATTAGTCCAAAGGCAAGGGCCGCAAGCCAGACCCCACGCTGCAAGATCCAGGATCATGATCTCATATGATGAACCATTTTTGCGTTTGGTGCCCAGATCAATACGTTTTCATGATGTGAATGAGTGATTGATGGCTGGAGTCCCTGTTGATTTCTTTGAATCCTCTCAAATCATAAGCTCCGCATGATTTAGAACGATTTTTATTAGTCGTTGGATCGCGGATAGACTAGAGATTGGTGTATCATATTAGCTGTTGATCATCCCTAGCGAGACCTATCAACAAGCACATCGTTATCTGACAACGTCGGGTGGATTCACCGAGACGGTGATAGTGTCGATAAAGATAGAAGATAGATAAGTAATACAGATAAGGCTGCTATTTTACTCGATGTGATCGAGCAATGAATTGTAGAATTGCGGGGAAGGAACATGGAGGTTGTGAGAGTACGGAGTGAGAGAAAATCATCTGCATGCAGGTAGGGCGTTGGAAAGTCTCTCGGTGTCCCCGAACCTCAATAAGGTAAAGCGATCAAATGTTTTCTGCAAGAATGTGAGGATGTAAGATGTTACATCTACGGGGAAGAAGTCATCCAGTATTGTTTACAGTATAATACTTTAGGATGTCGTCGTCGCCGTGACGAGTTTTCACAGCATGAGATCTGGGTTTGAAAAAACGTGATCAGAGTCAACAAACATGATCACATGGATTGACCTCCGATCTCGGCATCGATATATTCCCCAGAAGAGAATTATAGTAACTCTTCGACAAGATCGATTTACATTTTCTTCTGGAAGGGAAAAGGGCGAGAACGATTACCCTTCCGAAAACAGAAAAAGTTATAACGTAGTTTATCAGTACGTGCACCACTTCAAAATTATACTAAAATCAGGGTTTTTTTAATATTTTGTTACGGGAGCTGCCTCTAGGGTCATGTAGAAGTGTCTAGAGATCTCTCGAAATAGTTTAAACTAGACTTCAAGTAGGAATTCAATAAGGTTAATAACTAATTACAATTCTCATAATTATAATAATAAAACTAATGATTGTTCTTGAGCACGAAGCTCTATATTATAATGAAATCCATTCCCTTATATAAACCTTCTTGCTTAGTATGATCAGTATGGCTTAGTATTGATTTGTTTATACTTTTATAGCTTAGTGTTTATTTCATTGAGGTAGATTGAGCCAACCACGTGACTTAGTACCCCAGTTCCGTGCTTATGTTGTGTCGTTTGTAACATTATCCTCTTTTTATTTTAACACTTGTTTTGAGCGTTATATAGTTATGTGTTCCCTATATAACCATATCATAATGATTCTTTATTTCCTTTTATTATGTCTATTATTAGTGATTCTCGCTCAATATTTAATTGTTGTTGTTTAAATTAAAAAATCAAAG